AGACTTTTGGGGCTGTTACCAAGCAAATGAAATTAGTATCAATAAAAGTCATCTTTGCAATGCAGAGGAAACACATAAATGATTTGGTTGAAAATAGCAAAAAAAGTTCTTTCGGTGTTCGGCCGAATAAATTGTACCGAATAATGACATTTTTGGTGACGCAATCAAACAGCAACCAACGTAGAGTGAGAGACGCGCACTCTTTATAATGCAGCAAACATGTCTGCAGTGTAGAAGCATTTAAAAGTGTCTGAGAAAGACGCAAAAATCATTACAAGCAACGACAGCGAGAGACTGTTTAGCACTGCATTTCATGTCTCCGATGAGAAGAGGAAGGGGTGGTTGTTGCTGGTTACTGTGATTGAAATCGCGAAATGGCCTTAAACAATTAGAAAATTAAACTGCATAATGTTGTGTTTTCTAATACAAGCACGAATTGCATGTATTTTGACAGCGCTGCACGAGCTCGTTAGCCAGGGTTCAAAGTCCAAAGCGCGAGGAAAATCTGCGCTGAAACAGCGTTACTGGTCAGTTGCTCAGTAACATTTTTATGAAATTTTGCAAGGCATGCATGTGACAATGTGATACGTGCGACAAACATCTTCAAAAATTCGCAATGAGAATCATTTATAAATCTTTTGTTGTCAACAAAAAGAAGCACTGAGGACTTCCTGCTGGTTTCCGCCCAAATAAAAGCTGAGAAAAAGCAAGAACTCCATCAACATTCAAAAATATTAGTATTGTAATTTTACTGTAGTTATGTAAAATAAAATAGTAAGACAATAATAATGACAATAATAATGACAACAGCTCTGTTAATGCATTTATGATAACATTCACACATAGTGTTCAAATTGGGATCTGTAATATTTTCTAATGTTTTAAAAGAAGTCTCTTCTGCTCAGCAAGGCTGCTTTTAATTGTACAGTAAAAATATAAAAACAGTAATATTGTGAAATATTATTACAATTTTAAATAACTGTAAAGCATCATTACTCCAGTCTTCAGTGTCACATGATTCTTCACAAATCATTCTAATATGCTGATTTGCTGTCCAGTTTTCCTTCTTTTTTTATCTTTAGACAATCACATGCCTGATTCAAGAAGGGGGTCTCAAAAATGGCCAATTTTTTATTTTACAAAAAATTGGCTAAATACATGGGGAAAAAACGAGAAAAACCGTGTTCGGTATTCGGCCTTTGGACCAGTGTTTCATTTTGTTCGGTTTCGGCCAAGAATTTTAATTTCGGTGCATCCCTAATTTACACACTACTGTTTAGTGCAAAACATGAATGCATTTAACCTGCAATTACAAATGCATAAATAATGTTTTGATATATTAAACATAAAATGTTGAATAAGTTGAATGTTATTTGAAATTATTTAAATAATAAAAAGAAACTTATTGGAGTGTTATACAATAAATATTACATTTGTAATCATGGTAATTTTTTGGAGGAAAAAAATGGCACTCTTTGTGTGATATTAATTAACTATATGAAATTATATAAATATATACATTTTCTGTCCCCATATCTTGAATTTTGTGATCGTCGTAAATGCATTTTATTAGACTCAATCATGCAGTGAAAGAACACGCTCTAAATGCGCACTCGCAATAGTCTAGACTTCACGTAATGTATGCGTGCGCTCTGTAGGGGTGTTTTGAATGTTTTTTGCAAAATACTTGATAATTTCAAATCGCACATCGTTAAAACAACAGTTACAATATTATTGCAGACGATATATATCGCACACCCCTAGGTTGAAGGCAACGTTGATGATACTTTCTACCCTCCACAGACAGTGTCTGAACTGCACATCATTTATGGAAAGTAACTGCACACCAGTGATGTGTTTTCATCACCTGCTGAAGGGTCTTGTGGTCAGAGACAAAGTTTGTTAATATGCTTTTAAAGTTCTTCAACAGCCCTTTAACAGGGTCTTCAGTCTCTCCAGGACTAACATTTTCTAATGTTTTAAAAGAAGTCTCTTCTGCTCAGCAAGGCTGCTTTTAATTGTACAGTAAAAATATAAAAACAGTAATATTGTGAAATATTATTACAATTTTAAATAACTGTAAAGCATCATTACTCCAGTCTTCAGTGTCACATGATTCTTCACAAATCATTCTAATATGCTGATTTGCTGTCCAGTTTTCCTTCTTTTTTTATCTTTAGACAATCACATGCCTGATTCAAGAAGGGGGTCTCAAAAATGGCCAATTTTTTATTTTACAAAAAATTGGCTAAATACATGGGGAAAAAACGAGAAAAACCGTGTTCGGTATTCGGCCTTTGGACCAGTGTTTCATTTTGTTCGGTTTCGGCCAAGAATTTTAATTTCGGTGCATCCCTAATTTACACACTACTGTTTAGTGCAAAACATGAATGCATTTAACCTGCAATTACAAATGCATAAATAATGTTTTGATATATTAAACATAAAATGTTGAATAAGTTGAATGTTATTTGAAATTATTTAAATAATAAAAAGAAACTTATTGGAGTGTTATACAATAAATATTACATTTGTAATCATGGTAATTTTTTGGAGGAAAAAAATGGCACTCTTTGTGTGATATTAATTAACTATATGAAATTATATAAATATATACATTTTCTGTCCCCATATCTTGAATTTTGTGATCGTCGTAAATGCATTTTATTAGACTCAATCATGCAGTGAAAGAACACGCTCTAAATGCGCACTCGCAATAGTCTAGACTTCACGTAATGTATGCGTGCGCTCTGTAGGGGTGTTTTGAATGTTTTTTGCAAAATACTTGATAATTTCAAATCGCACATCGTTAAAACAACAGTTACAATATTATTGCAGACGATATATATCGCACACCCCTAGGTTGAAGGCAACGTTGATGATACTTTCTACCCTCCACAGACAGTGTCTGAACTGCACATCATTTATGGAAAGTAACTGCACACCAGTGATGTGTTTTCATCACCTGCTGAAGGGTCTTGTGGTCAGAGACAAAGTTTGTTAATATGCTTTTAAAGTTCTTCAACAGCCCTTTAACAGGGTCTTCAGTCTCTCCAGGACTAACACTAATTTACAAAATGTGGCATCAGAACTTAGAGATGCACTGATTGCAATTTTCTAGGCCGATTCCGATTTCCGATTTTTTTGTTAGTGTGATCTGCCGATACCGATTTTTGCCGATTCCGAATTTCTTTCTAAGAACTATAATTGACAGCATATACAAACAAAAATCTACTTTTCTTCAATGCAAAGTTTTATTTTCATTAAAAAAAACACAAGTAAAAAGTCAGTAATAAAATAAGAACAAATAAAAAAAATGGCAAACAACAGCACAAATAAATGCAATAGAATAAAGAGAGCTATGAAACTAAGTTTTTCAGGTTAAGTAAGTTTTTATTCAGGTAAAAAATACTACAGAACTTTAGTAAGATTAATGCTTACCAGAGCAGAAATGGATTTTCTTTGTCTTTTGTTCTTTGATTAACATGACATGAAAGCCAATGGACTCCAATGGTGTTTGGTTCCCAAATTTCTTCAAAATTTCTATTTATGTTCCACAGAAGAAAAAGTCAGACAGGTTTGGAACCACACAAGGGTGAGAAAATGACCATTTTCATTTTTGGATGGAGCATTCCTTTCACAGTAGAGCAGTCTGTAGCTTCCAGACAGTCAATCCATTCAGAATGCGTCATGCATGGCTGTTTGTTTCTGAAAAGCCTTTACATCAAAGACCAATACATGCACTTACCTCGGCTAGAGCACGTCGGTCCTGCACTTTGCGTACACCAAGCTGCTTGACCACATTTTTGGCACCTTCTGCCACAGCTGCCTCAATCCTCAGATGGTGCCTGAGCTCTTCCACCCGCAGCTCAAGTGGACTAATTGTTTCAGAGGGGCGACCTGCACAAAAACCCGCATTTAGCAAAAACAAAAACACCATCCCATCTGTCTTTTACCTGGTGATTGATTACATAACCAGCGGCTTCCAAAAAAACAAAAAAAATCCAGGCATCAATCTGTTTTATGATTCATAGAATAAAAAGTAGATCCATAGTACTTTTAAGAGTAATTTAATAAATTTCACAAAATAAATGTTTATTGTTTTTATAAATATTTAAGCACTTGATTTAAAAGGAAATTAACAATTGTCCATATAAAAAATAAAAAAAAAGAGCAAAAAACATTGTTAAAGCAATCTAATTGGATCAGTTTCATGCAACACTTAAATCAACACTGGAATCGAGTGTCACAACAGAGCAACACTGCAAGAGCCCAATATTGCTATGCTTACATTGAAGAAGACAGAATCAATTAAAATGGGAACCAGAGAATTGTGTCATGTCATGCCACTTCTAATGCATCTGGTGAATACTACTGCATGACAAAGCGTTCAAATAAAAAGGAACTAAAACAAACCACACCCAAATTCAAAACTGAAAGGTTACCCCAATGCAAAGCTGATATTATATAAATAAGTCCTCATTAATAAATTTCACAAAATAAATGTTTATTGTTTTTATAAATATTTAAGCACTTGATTTAAAAAAAATTTAACAATTGTCCATATAAAAAAAAAAAAAAGAGCAAAAAACATTGTTAAAGCAATCTAATTGGATCAGTTTCATGCAACACTTAAATCAACACTGGAATCGAGTGTCACAACAGAGCAACACTGCAAGAGCCCAATATTGCTATGCTTACATTGAAGAAGACAGAATCAATTAAAATGGGAACCAGAGAATTGTGTCATGTCATGCCACTTCTAATGCATCTGGTGAATACTACTGCATGACAAAGCGTTCAAATAAAAAGGAACTAAAACAAACCACACCCAAATTCAAAACTGAAAGGTTACCCCAATGCAAAGCTGATATTATATAAATAAGTCCTCAGAAAAATAGATCTAATTCTTTCAAAGCAACTTCTCTAATAAATTGGGTGATGATGTTGCATTGCTGATGTCAAAGCTTAGAAGATTGGGCTCAGCACACAATATGTAAGACAATAACTTTTTAGTTGTCTTGGAAACCTATGCCCTTTTTGATTATTATTTTGAGAATTTGGTATGAAAGTTTAAAGGGCAATGTCATTTTAGGAATAACACCTGATCATTTTTCAAGGAACTTTCAACTTTGGAAAACTTTTAGTGAAGTTTCTATAAGTGGCAATGTTCTATGAGAAATAAATCAATTGTTATAAAAAAAAATCTGTAATTGTCATGATTTCCTACATGTTTTCTTTACTAATTAAAATGAGTTGTTTGTTTACCCTCTGGCTGTGTGGTCTCCCGCTCTCCCTCTCTGGCCTGGGTGACTTTGACAATCTGCATGCGGAGCAGCTCAATTTTCGTCTTGCTATCCTGCAGCATCTGCTGGGCTCTGGACAACATCTTCCGATCCTGGGGAGTGACAACAGAAGCGATAGAGAGATACTGAGATTGAACATTTTGCATTTGCATTAGAACAAACAGTGAAGAAACTGTCAGAGGAAAGAACAAAGAGTCGGGGACTAAAAAGAAAAGTGGGAAAAATTTAAAGATTTAAACAGTGGTGGAACTTTCGTTTTTATAAAGTGATGTTTTTTTTCTAAAGTGCTGTTTGATGATGTTCCCATATATTTTGACCAGTAAAATTTCAAGATTTTCCCCATGATGCATTTTTGGAATATTATCATAATAATAAAAAAATTATAGAGATTTCTGAGGCAATTTTCCCATTTCTGTCAAGTACTAATTCTCAGAATTAATAATTTGGTTACACTTTAGTATAGGGACCAATTCTCACTATTAACTAGTAACTTATTAGCATACCAATTATTAACATATTGGCTGTTTATTATTCTGCATGACCAAATTCTACATCCCTAATCATACCCAATACCTAAACTTAACAACTACCTTACTAACTATTAATAAGCAGCAAATTAGGAATTTGAGGCAAAAGTTGTAGTTAATGGTTTATTAATAGTAAGAATTGGACCTTAAAATGAAATGTAACCAATAATTTAAACTATTAACTTACCAATATTATTGAAAAACATTAATATACTAATATTTCAAAAAACACAGTATAGCTGATAAATATATCTGTAGGTTTCTAGCCAATTAAATACTTTAAAGCAGACTATATTTACTAAAGAAATTTCAATTACTTTTCCAGCTTTTAAAATTCTATGATATTTCAAAGGAATGTGTTTTCTATGACCATGGAAACCCTGTAATATACAGAGACAACTACAGTATAAGACATTCATGTCCCAAAAAAGGTGAACACTTGAGGTGCTATCAAAACACTGTTCTGTTAGTTCAAACATCCCAACCAGCCTGATAAAGAAACAAAAGGGGAGTGTTTTAAAAATCGGAGAGTCATTTTTGCAGTTTCATTTTATGACATTATTAGCCCAGAAAATCATACACTACAGCTCTAAGCTAAGCTGAGCCTAGATGAGAAATTCCCACAAAGACCAACAGGTCAAAAGTGCAACGGTCTTCATTAAACACTTCTCTTTCTCATTATGAGAAACAGTCAGGTGTACCACACACCCAAACACTGACTGTGCAATTTTCTCCCTAGAGCTTTAGAGTCATAGTAGCGCAAGAAAGCTATATATCCCGAAACACAGCAACTACATTTTGCAAATCCAGGTGGATGCTGCACACTGGTGGTGGATGAGGAGATACCCCCTGACAATGTAAAGCGCTTTGAGTGCCTAGAAAAGCGCTATATAACTGTAATTAATTATAAAAAAAATTAAATGAAAGAGACATACTAAAATGATTGCAATGTCCCATGGAGCCCCAATGTAAACAATGCTGCAACAAGAAACGTGACCTTTTCTGAAACCTGCATAAAAGACCCATTCAGGAAGTAAAGGAAAAGGGAAACCATACTGTCCATAGTGCTCTCCCCCTCTCAATGCAGCTCAAGAGGTCATCTGTCATGTTTTGTGAACTTTCAGATGGCTGTATGACATCCCCTTGCTCCTCCTTGACCCCCATCAGATGTTCCCTCCTGTATTTATCTCTCCGTCCTCAAAACTGTTCATGTCAGTTTATGCCATACAGCAGACATTGAGGCCAGCATCCAAGAAGCCACCCCAGTCTTTCTTCTTATTGTTCTACTGTCCTTGCGTCCCAATCGCTTGCTCGCTCACTACTCCCCTCCCTTTTTCACATTTGTTCTTTTTGCCTCTTTCTTATGGAAGCATATAGGTAGCGAAATTCTATTTAAAATGCAATATGCAAAATGGCAATGCAATATTCAAAATGGCATTGTATTTCTGTATTTAAATTTACATTTTCCATTACCCATACGTGCAAAGTTTGGTGCAAAAGTAAAATGAAAATTAAATTATATAATTTACATTTGCCATTTCCAACAGTAGTCTTAATATGGATGCGCAGAACGTCTTTACGAGCACATCAAACAGAAGACTTTTCAGACGCGCACTCCACGGCTATGGAAGCATATAGGTAGCGAAATTCAATTTAAAATGCAATATGCAAAATGGCAATGCAATATTCAAAATGGCATTGTATTTCTGTATTTAAATTTACATTTTCCATTACCCATACGTGCAAAGTTTGGTGCAAAAGTAAAATGAAAATTAAATTATATAATTTACATTTGCCATTTCCAACAGTAGTCTTAATATGTAAATTGCATGCAAATTTTAACGCTTTATAAGTTGCGAAATTAAAATGAAAATGTATAACACAAATTGATTTGATATGTGTAACATGTTCAAGCAGAAATGGTAGCAAAATGATCATTTAAATGCTATTTGTCCTAAATGCATTTAGACTAACAGTTAGAACACTTAGGATTGCATTTTCATCATGACGCCGTGGGATATTTGTAGCAAAATTCAATTTGAAAATGCATTCCGAGCTGACCACGCCCACCCTCCGTCAATCATTGCTTCAAGGCAGGGATTGGCGGAAGTATGAAGGTAGAATGACGAAGATAAGATTTGCATACACAGGGTAAGAGTTGTGGAAGTGGAGAGTCAGCGAGAGGCTCATTTGATTGGCTACAAGAAGAAGGTGGACCCGCCCTCCCCCTCACGCTTGCAAAACTCAGTTATCGTGCCAAAATTGTAAGCGCAGAGAAAAGAAAGATTTCGGGAACTTTTTGCCCCACATACACAACAAGCTTTTTCAATTTATTACTCAGAATGACTTATTAGCCTACAACACCTTTAAATACTTATTCAGGGAAGTACAGCAGGATGCAGGAAATGGTTGAGTATTATTTTAGGTAATGTGCATGCAATTTACATATTAAGACTACTGTTGGAAATGGCAAATGTAAATTATATAATTAAATTTTCATTTTCCTTTTGCACGTATGGGTAATGGAAAATGTAAATTTAAATACAGAAATACAATGCCATTTTGAATATTGCGTTGCCATTTTGCATATTGCATTTTAAATTGAATTTCGCTACCTATATGCTTCCATACTTTCTCTCTCTCTCTCACGCTGTTTACAGATCTCCTTCCAAAGGAGTCAGCCACCTCTAACTGCTGCTGCTGCCGTGCCCTGCCTGGCTGGCCCAAACCCGAATGCTTCGGCATTGATTGGAGCGAAGTCACATGGGCTGCTGCTGTCGCCAGGCCCAATACAGGAGAACCCGAATCAGTACCAGCAAGCTCTTCCTCTTCAGACTCAAAGGGATGATGTTTTAGAGCACGTCTGTGAGTGTCTTAGTGTGTGTGTGTGTGTGTGTGAGAGATCAAGGCTCTGTACTCAAGCTGCCTGAATCCAGCACAGACATAAATCACAGAGCTGTCAGCACACAGTGTTCTCAGGCAGACGCTGCAGCATTATCGCAGCCCTGTCTGATAGAAACACACAGGCTCAAATATACTCACGGCTAGCTAGAGGTCATGGGACCATCGCTCTAAAAGGGTTATAAAGGATGGAAGGGCAGAGGGGGAGGGGGAGGGACCTCCTTTGTGTGCGTGTTATCACATTTCATAGCCTTCATAGCAGCGACCCAAACCGATTTAAATACACACAGAGTAGTGGAGGATGAGTTAATCATCTAGTAATCATCAAGCTGCACAGAAAAAAGAAAAAAAAAGGAGGAGGGATATCCTCACCTTGACAGAACTGTTGGCGTAAGTCTGAATGATGTTCTCGGCTCCTTGTTTCACTTTGAGCTCCATGGTAAGTTGTTTTTTCAAAGTACGGACACGGCTGCCTAAGGGTGATGTGATCTCTTCCCAATGGCACGGATCTGGAGAGGTGGCATCATCTGAGAACACAATTATAAAGAATATTTATATAGAAATGTGAAGCGGTTCTATTAGCCTTTTCTGATATTTCTGAAATTTCTTCAAAGGGGCTTACAGATTAGAGGGCTCAGTTTAAAGAAACTCCGTCTACACTACTATTCAGAAGTTTGGGGTCAGACTTTTTTGTTTTTTAAAGAAATAATAATAATAATAATAATAACAATACTTTTGTTAAGTAAGAACACATTAGATCAAACATGAATTTAAATACATTTATAATTTTACAAAAGACTTTTATTTCAAATAAATACTGTTCTTTTGAACTTTTTATATATCAAAGAATCCTGAAAAAAAAAAATCACGGTTTCCGTGCAGCACAACATATAAAGCAGCAGACCTGTTCTCAACACTGAACAGGATTGCAAAGAGGTGGAACATTTTCAAACATTTCTGCAAATTCCTGAAATTTTCCTTTTTTTCCCCACAGGAATATATCACATTTTAGAAAAAGTTATTTTACATTGTAATAATATTATAAAATATTATGTTTTTTCTAAATTTCTGATTGTTTTGGCTATATCAAATAAATGCAGCCTTGGTGAGCATACGAGACTACTTTCAAAAACATTGAAAATACTGTACCAACCACAAAATTTTAAACATTAGTGTATTAAAAATAAAGATGAAATTACACTTTAATATCAATTATCAAAATTGATATATTATATCAATATCAATTATCAAATTATTACATAAATGATCAAAACTCATTATATCATGTCAAAAAACGATCACACCTTCCTGCTCTCACCTGTAATAGTATCTTTCTGTGTGGCCATAGCACGTGCATTCAGCTCCTGGAGCTCCCAGTGGAGCTGCTCCAGCTTTCGGCTGGAGGCTCTAAGCTGACCGTCCACATCAGCAGCATTCTTGCGGTTGGTCACCGCCCGCCGCAGCCGCTCAGCCGCCTCTTTGATCTTCAGTTCCCGCTGGATCTCCTGCCGGAGAAGGGCGATCGCATCCTCTACACGCTGCTGGAACTCAGGGTCCATGAGGTCCCCTTCAGCCAGACCCCGCAGACAGCTGCTCTGTTGTGTTCAAGTGACATCGAAAAAGTACAAAAATCAACATGCTTCAAGTTTTTGTTCGTTTACAGCAGCCTTTTTGATAAAACGTTGACATCTGCCGTTCAAGTAAGGTAAGGAACCTGTATAAATTGATTTTTTCTGTTGAATGTTACGTTCAAAAAATGAAAGAAATTCATACAGGTTTGGAACAACTTGAGGGTGAGTAAATGATGACAATTTCCATTTTGGGGTAAACTATTCCTTAAAGTAAAAAGATCATTTCATTATACTAAGCAAATAACCCATTAAGTGTGACCACTGATACTGATAAAGTGGACTTGCAATGAGCAGGATGAAAAAAGGGTCACTGATATGAGCTGAAAGTGAATAGCAAGCAACTGGAGCAGTTACATCATAAACGCATATGTACATATCTCAGAGATGAGGCTTTAAATACTTGCAGACACTTGCACATTTTCACATTTCAGGCGTTGGAAAAAGCTAAATGAAAGGATTTTCTGAACAAGCCATTCATAATTTGCTACATAGAGGGCAGTGTTTCACACATTCTGACTTCTTATGACACGATAAGAAAAGATAAGAAACTAAAATCAATATAATTAATTTGCATATACATAAATAAATGATGTAGTTCCCATTATTCTGATTAATATTTAAGATCAGTATTTAACTTGTTGTCAACTGGTGTTGGACGAATACATTCATCGGGACCTAACAGCAAAGCAGGAAAAACAGGCATTTCGAAAATAGACTATCATTAACCACTGTCATAACATGACTCTTCCAACTACTTTAAATCACAAAAGCTTTAAGTCACTCGTTTTTTCATACACATAACTTCAGTTACATTTAAGCCTCTGGTGAGGGACAGAAGAGGAAGCTGAAGTTCTGTCAAACCCGTTCAACCTGAAAATGTTTAGTGATATTTAATTGTTTGAACAAAGCTCGAAAACTGCCATATAAACAACATAACATAAGGAGGCAGGTGTAATGCGATAAAACACCGCATTTGTCTAATTGTTTTCTATATTTCACATTTTTATTTTTGAATAGTTTCGCTATTACTAAAGAAAATTGCTTGAATGAAAAACTTTTGAGCTAACTTACACAGGACTCAGGACTCACAGTGAGACGTAACTTAAACATGAGCGTTTGAACGTTAACGATCTGACTGCTTTATTTTATATCAGTAAGTTAAAAATATCTTATTTATTTCTTACCTGAAGCGTCACACCCGACATCGTGAAATAATGTCCGATACACACAAGACAGTGATGCTCGGACTAACGTTAACCGAATCTTCTCTCGAGTTTACGGCTCTGGCTCACGCGGCGCCTGATTGAGAGACACTAGAAACCATATCCAAACTAAGTTCCAACTGAATCTGAGATCTCAGACAAAAAGACATTCAAAAGGGAATAAAAAGTTGTGTGCTGTTGGGTGCTGGAAGAAGATACAGGTGGCAGACTGTCAGCTGGGAGGCTAGACGGCTCTCGAATTACCGGTAGTTTTTTTTTTTTATGGAAGTTGCTTTGCCTTTCCCATTTCCTGAGGTTTGAAAAATCTTCGCCGCCTCCCTTTTCAACGATTGGCTGACAGCGCTGTCAGTCACAGGCGCTGCAATGATGTCATTTGGCATAGAGACCAATAGTACACACTTCTATTCGTTTTGATAAAGAAATAGACATTGAAGAGTTGAGAGAATGCATTAACTTATTAAAGAATAACAAATCTCCAGGCAACGACGGGCTAACTGGAGAATTTTATAGGACTTTTTCTAAAGAACTTTCACCTCTCTTATTGTTAGTATCTGCAGAAGCTATACAAAATGGTGAATTGCCTGTTTCATTAAAACAAGGAATTATAACACTGATTCCCAAACCTAATAAATCTCTTAGAACAAACAAAAAACAAAAAAGCACTGAAAACATGTAATGCTCTGAAAGCATTGAACTTTATGTAATTTTCTTCCCTTTTTTTTCTTTTTTTTCTCTGGCAGCTAATAATGTTAATTTGATCATGTGAATATGTAATACCTCATGTGCTTGTGGCATTGAATTAATAAAGCATAAAAAAAAACAATAATAAAAAAAACAAAAAACACTTCTATTCGTTTTTTTTCCCTGTTCTTTTTGTTTGTTTGTTTCTACTTTATTTTTTATTATTGTTTATCATTTTTATGTTAATGGTTGTATTATTCTATGTGTACTATTCTTGATTTTTGAGCATTAATAAAAAAAAAACACTTCTATTAGTACTACTATTAATAATAATAATAATCGATAGGCATTTGCCGTTATATACACAATAAATGCACAAGAGAAGTTGCAAAGTTTCAACAGTCAGAAAAGGCATAGGATAAAAGTGAAACAAAAACAACAATCTGCTGTTCTACAAAACAAGAATGTTTGAGTTAATCATTTTCTACATTTCTAAATCCTTATATGGTCTTTGTCATTTTTAAAATGAAAAAAGTATAAAATGTTCAACTTATACTTTTCAACAATAAAGGATATTCAATAATAATAACAACACATGTATATAAAGTATAGATAAATAATAAAGGTATAAAACTAATTTGTTCATAAAATTTGCTCTCCACTTGTCTCACATCTCGCGATGGTTGATGAAATCTACGAGACTAAACGGCGTATAAATCCGCTATTTGAGTTTTCAAGAGCGTCATTTCAGATATCATGGCGGCTTCGCTTGCGAAGAAATGCGCATCACCGGCAATTCTCAAAACTCTTTCAGCTCCTCAGTTGAGGATGCAATGTGGGTATCACAAAAAGGTAAGCTAGTATGACTCGTTCAGTTTGCTAGTAAAGTTTTTCGCTTTGACCTTATGTATTTGAGGTGTTTTCCTGCATGTTTGACACTCTTCGTGATACATAATGACAGTTATTGGCACTGTAATACCACTAACATGTGACAGCAAGTTTCGCATTTTTTAGTTCTCATTCAGATTTAATTCTTTAAGTTGATGTCGTTTGAGATCACATTTAGTACAAGCTGAAGAATTAAGAATGAACTAAATTGTTTCTTTGTATGAGTCCATGTTTTATCTATAAGACAACATTTTGAAATGTAAATTCTTCATTTTTAGTAATTTGTATTATGGCAACATGAATATACATCTAACTAGGTCAAAATGGGGGGGGCATTGGAGCCCGTGATCGTTTATTTGTCTTCTATAACAATGAACTGAACCGACACATGATCCTGACTTTGTGAGCCAAATAACTCAACTGGCCCCTCCCTTATTAAACGTTAATATTTGTATTTTAAAGGTTGTGGATCATTATGAGAACCCAAGAAATGTTGGTTCTTTGGATAAAAATGCCAAGAATGTGGGCACAGGGTTGGTTGGTGCCCCTGCTTGTGGAGATGCTTTTGTGACAAGCAAAAAGGGAAACAAAATAAACAATTGTGCCCTTAAATAAAATAGTGTAAATAATATTTAAGCAGATGAATCTCACAGGATCTTAATTCTCTGTACGATGACTGAATTCTCAGATTGGATTGAGTGCTTACACAGGATGAGTCTGCATATTTTAGATTATTCTGTTTATTGTTTATTTGACGGGGACAATACAGAATATAATATTTGTAGCACTTGTCCCTGGTTAGTATTTTACTATGGACCCAAAACTATAATAACCTACAAACAATATGTAATTTATGCCAAAGTAATTCAATAAATAAAAAAACACCAATTGGGTAACCCCTAAAACAATGGTCACAAGACTAATTCTGTTTAATTTTTCCATTTGTTTCATAGCTGTATTTGTATTTTTTCATAACTCTTTATCTGACAAAATTAAACAATCATTTGATCTCTACATTGTATCGCAAATGATAAATGCAGAGATTTTGTCTAACTAGGTCAAAATGGGGGGGATTGGAGCCCGTGATCGTTTATTTGTCTTCTATAACAATGAACTGAACCGACACACGATCCTGACTTTGTGAGCCAAATAACTCAACTGGCCCCTCCCTTATTAAACGTTAATATTTGTATTTTAAAGGTTGTGGATCATTATGAGAACCCAAGAAATGTTGGTTCTTTGGATAAAAATGCCAAGAATGTGGGCACAGGGTTGGTTGGTGCCCCTGCTTGTGGAGATGTGATGAAACTGCAGGTAATCCTCTCTTGCATAATAATAGGTTTAATGACTTCTTTACTGTTCTTCCTAAATTGTCATTTTTTCCGAATGGGTGCAGTATGTTCACTACTGTAGGTTTATTAACTGTCATTTTATAGCACAGGTGTTTGATGACAAGCATGTTTGCTTTTGTGACAAGCAAAAAGGGAAACAAAATAAACAATTGTGCCCTTAAATAAAATAGTGTAAATAATATTTAAGCAGATGAAATAGTGTAAATAATATTTAAGCCGATGAATCTCACAGGATCTTAATTCTCTGTACGATGACTGAATTCTCAGATTGGATTGAGTGCTTACACAGGATGAGTCTGCATATTTTAGATTATTCTGTTTATTGTTTATTTGACGGGGACAATACAGAATATAATACTTGCAGCACTTGTCCCTGCTTAGGCTTTTACTAGGGACCCAATAAATGCAATAACCTACAAACAATATATAGTTTATAACGAAGTAATTCAATAATGATTTAAAAAAAACATTCAACGAATCACCAGTTGTATAATGGTCACAAGACTGCTTCTGTTTAAGCCATTTTTTCATAGCTCTATTGCATTTTTTTCATATGAGCTCTTTATCTCGTTTAATTTTTCCATTTGTTTCATAGCTGTATTTGTATTTTTTCATAAATCTTTATCTGACAAAATTAAACAATCATTTGATCTCTACATTGTATCGCAAATGATAAATGCAGAGATTTTGTTTATAGTATATTCATTATAGCCACAGTCTGTGTTTGAGTCACAATGCTGATGATGGAAGCTATCACCACCCTTCACGCTGTGCTTGTATATTTGATGAACTGAAGTGTATGTTTGTTTTTCCCACCTAGATCGAGGTGGATGAGGCTGGGAAGATTGTAGATGCCAAGTTTAAAACCTTTGGCTGTGGCTCTGCTATTGCTTCAAGTTCCTTGGCCACTGAGTGGGTGAAAGGCAAATCTGTAAGCAAAAATGGTCACATTTGCTGGTTCTATTGCTTTGGTGCAAATGTTTGTCCTCCTTTTTTCTTTTTTTTTAATCTGCATTGTGACAAAGTTTGATTGTAACTTGGCGTTTTTGTCCTAATAAAACTATTAAACCTAAAAATTCTCAATCAACGTACAGATTGATGAAGCCCTCAAGATAAAAAACACTGAGATTGCTAAGGAGCTTAGCCTTCCACCAGTCTGGTGCTTCACGACCAAAAGGGGTTTCAGGTCTGTTCTGATTGGGTCGTGGGGAGCAGGGAAATAACAGTGCTAAATAGGGCTGGGTAAAAAAATATAGATTTCTCTATATTAATCGATTCTCATTTTTACTCAACAATATCGATTCTTAAATCCCAAGAATCGATTATTCTAGCCTG